CTCTCCGGCGTCGATGAATAAGGGAAACGAGATCGTGTTTCGTTGACTTTCGTTATTATTCGCAGGGAACGGCGAATCGAATAGTAGGTCTCTCGATTTTTGGCAAATGTTTCAAATTTGGATATTTTCACAGCTACCCCGAGTTTTTCAGAGATTCTCTTGTGTCGTTCTCGGTTTCTTATTTTTCTAGTTTCTGAGTCTCGAATCTCTCAGTTGGGAAATCCTCGATTTTTCTCGAGTTTGCCAAATTTTCCGCCACGTCAGTTATTTCCTCCAGCTAACGACTGAAGTGAACAAAGTGCAAATCTTTCTTCGCTTAGGCTGTTAACGCATTGCTTGCGAAAGTCTTTTACCTTTTGACAAAGTTTAAATTTTTCTTCGTAAATTATTATTACATCACCCTAATAGGCTCTTGATAATTTTAATACCGAAGCAGCGAGTCACAGCTGGAATTTTTATAATTGCGGAGACCTTTGAGGAGTAATATCCTTTTCGATTAGCGAGCAGGAGTCAGTTGGACTTAATCGTTAAAAATCACGTCGTTCAAGTGTCTTTCTTCATGATTGATGCGTTTCTCTGCAACGCACCGGTACATTACGTTCATTACGTCCCCTTGCAATGCTCCTGATGGCCTTGGTGATTTTCGTCTTCAACTTACCTACCCGAATCCGCTCTCCATTGATTTCTTTTTTTCTCTCCTTTTTCCAAAGATTAATTAAAAACGCGTGTAGCCCCTTTCATTGATCATTAATTTTAATTTAAAATTTTTTCACGACGAAACACTGTAAGATCTACTACTATATTATACTCCCTTCGATATTGGTACTGACACTAAAGTCACAAATTTTTTTCTCGATTTTATTTCTTCCCCTAAATTTCAACATCTGCGTCTGATTTTTGTCCGTATGCATTCTTCAAATAAAAAGTAATTTAATGAATAAATATTAATAATATTAATAGTATTAAAGTAATAATAATAATAATAATAATATTATTAAATAATAATAAATATTAAATTAATTAAATTACTTTAATACTATTAATATTATTAATATTTAATAAATATTATAATATTTAATATTTAATTTGATAAATATTTACTAATAAATTAATAAAACTAACTTAGAAATTAATGAAACACTCGTTAAGGGGGGGGGGATGAAAGACTCACACTTTTCCAATTACCGTAATACGTGTTCCATTTATTAAATTGGAGATATAATACACAAGCGATAGATAACACGTATGTATAATTTATACAATACTTTATACAGATTGTCTCTACCTCGTTTCGCGCTTAGCAATTTATCTATAATACTGTACAAGTAACACGTTGAACTTGCTCTCGCAGCAACTTCTCCACGTTCTCCACGCTTCGCGTCTCCATTTCGAAATTCGCAATTAATCAACCACGACGCTCCAGTTAAAAAATCAATTCTCATTCGCGCGAACATCGACACACCGGCAACGTAAGGTTACCATGGTGTACGTGACGCGTTAATTCAGGCGTCAGGAGGGTGACTCAGCGTGACTTCCGGTTCCTCGTTGGTGACCTGTGCCTCTTCGCCTATTTTTTCCCTCTCTTTTTTTGCGATTATACGATCATGCATACGTCTACGATCCTATTTTTTTTTTCTTTTTTTTCGTTTTTTCGCCTTCTTAATTGGGGAACACCTACTTACTCGTCGGACGAGTCTCGAGACCGATTGCGCGAACTTTTTTTTTTTTTTTGAGTATTTCGATCGTCTCGAGTGCACGAAGTTCTTTGATTCTTTTCGAAACTTCCCGAGGACAGACTTTTAAATTCTCGGATCTTGACAGTTTTCTGATTAATTTCTCCAGCCGGAACATTTTTGCCGAACCTTACAAAATTCTTCGATCGTGGTCACAAGTTGGATTTTTAAATTCTCAAGTTTCAAATTCGGGACGGTTAAATTTTTCGACCACGAGGCTCTGTGACAATTTTGAACTCCGAGTTTCAATTTTTTTTTTGTATATTCAGTTCGCTGCAGGAAAATTCGACTAAATTTTTTCTTTCGGTAAATTTCTTCGGTAAAAGAAATCTCTATGTCTCTGGCGTTAATGAAATTTACGGGACGATCGAAATACGCTGAAAAATGTCGGACAACACGCTCCAGAATCATTCCTTATGGTATCATATCTATACGTCAGATTCTTATTAAGTACGTTAAATATCACATTCACGTTTATCGTATCTACAGAATATACAAAAATCCATTTCGATTCGCTTATTCGTTCATTGGCATAAGTTCACTGGGACGTAAATAGAGAATTCTTAAGGGGGGGGAGTGGGGAATCAGTTCGATTCGTTACATTTCTTAGACACGACTTCTTCTCCATTGAAACTTCTTCATCCTCGTTCGTTTCATTTATTCGCCTTTAATTTATTTGAATATTTATATATTTATACTCATAGTGGTGGTGTAATGGCTTGTCTGACATTCAGCATACATTTACTATACACGTGCTGTTTTTAACTGAGTACGAGCTTACCGGCGTTTTCGTTTTATTATAATAGTTAATTACTTGCAGGATCGATCGATTCTGCGGGACCCCTCCTCTCTCGAGTGTGAAATCTTTTAATTTCCAAGGCAAGATTTAGAAAAAGTGCCTTCAACTGTCGCGTTCAGCGTGGTACGAAGTTTCACAATTCTCCGAAGGATTTTGTAAATATGTACGCAAATTTTTTTCGAAATTTTTCACTTGCTTGCAATATTTCGCCTAGATACTTAATTTCCGAGCTCGTTTGTAATTTTTAAATGTTCAACTTCGGTTTTTAAATTTCACGTCTTCGATTTTGTTTACAAACTTTTGGATCACTCTTGAGTTTGCGGATACACGAGTTTTTTCTGAAAAATGTGAAAAATACACCCGAGGTGGCAAATGTTTTTCGTTCTCGAATTTCAGAAAACGTGGAACTTTTCGAACTCGGAGAATTCGAATTCGCTGATTCGCTCGCAGACTTTGCAATTTTTTCCCCTCGATCGTTGGAAACTTAATCGTGCAAATTACACTTTTAACGTTAGATATGACTAGATTTACTCTATTCTCGGCTAATTAAACTATATACAGGGTGGACCAAAAGTTTCTTCCCACCTATTTTTTTTTCTTTTTTAATAAAACATCAAGATATATGTAAAAAAAGAACTAATTTTAAATTGAATTTAAGATCAAACGTGAACTTAAATTAGTGCACTTTAATCACTACAAAATAGAAAAGGAAATATATAATAAAAAAATTACGGATTTATTTTGGTAAGAGGCTGATTTTTGGCCCACCCTGTATAACAACAACTGTGCATTTTTCGATGTGCACAATCAAAACATGAGGTTTGATTCGTCGACCACGCGATTCTGCCTCACCACGAAGAAACTCTCTCTCTTTCTCTCTCTCTCTCTCTCTCTCTCTCTCTCTCTCTCTCTCTCTCTCTCTTGCCTTAAAAATTCGTCCGTCAGTTGCCTCGGGAAAAGGTTCGGTCCCTCGCTCAATTTTCATAAAATATTATCCTCCAAATCCTGCAAATAATCGCATACGCATAATTACCGTCGTTGAGTTACAATTTTATAATAATTTTGTTATTCTTTGAACGTAACGTTCCAGACGGCGGCGACGATCCTCTCTCGATCATCGTAGCGTACAACTCTATCTTAATACAAATATATACAAACGACGATAAATCTCTATAAACGTTAAAAACTCGTCGGTGAGATTTTTTGTTCTTTTTTTTCTTTTCCTTTCGAAACGAGAAGAATTACTTGTTTGCATTTGCCGGCAATTTCCTTTCGAAACTTAAAAGCAATTTACATAAAATCGGGATCTGTGAAAATAGCAATCTCGCCATTGTGCCACTAAAACTCATTATCTTGCAAAAAATTCGACGTCTGTCTCTCGAACGTGTGACTGCTCCGACCAATCTTTGCCCTCTGTATAAAAATTAATTAATCGAACGATCTCTTCTAACTAACATACGCATTTACGATCTTTGGTTCATCAATGATAATTACACATTATAATCGTTGACATCAATTACACGATAAATTCATATTTATGAAAGTCGTATACGCGCACCTTCCCCGAACTTGCTTCTGTGCAAGTTAACACGTTTTAACGGCACAATATTATTAAGTTCAGTTACGCCGAGCTTCGGATGTTCCGTTCTTGCCCTCCGATCATTCTACAGCCAGTTAATTTTCATCAACTCGTCAGTCTCTTGGCGGCTTCACGTTCGAAATCAATTCGACAATTCAAAGAATATTTCTTCTATCTGACGAACGATAAACTGGACCGTTTCTTATTTAGCACTAGAACTACCGAGGTGGTCGAAATGACCAATTCGTCATTTTCCATTTATCATTCGATATATTATAATATATATACGTACACATGATATATAATATATATTAGATATATTATATATCATAGATGTGAAACAGTGTGTATTTAGAAATTGAAATGATTCTTTTTATAAAATGATTTTCGAATCGTTTAATTCGTTTAATTGTCAAATGATTCTCCTTATAAAAGACACAAATAAGAGCTTGTCTTATTATATTTTACAATTTTTTTCTATTCTTTTTCTCACTTTAATATCTCCGATGAAAGTTCTATGCTTCGGATTCCTTGGTAGTTCCAGCGTTGACAGAATTCTTTTCCTTTTTTTCTTTCAACGAAAAGAAATCCACCTTCTCGCTGTCCAATTTGCTTCTCCTTGCAAGTCTCCTCTCTGTCTCTTGCATCCTCGAAATTTCGTTCGAAACGAATTATCTAGCTGTTCGATGTTCCTTGAGATTACTTTCGAAGCGTGAAGAATAATTAATCACTCGAAAGGGAATAAAAAACTGAAAGAGGTGGGTGTTAAACGAAGCACTAGAAACTAACTGAGAAACGAGCTGGGCATATTCATTTTCTTTCTAAAATCTTTCTTGCCGCGCGATCGTTCACATCCTTCTAGCGAGTCTAGTCCTTTTGCGATTCGTTCTTAATGCCTGTATTGTTGCTCGAGTTCCCTTCTCAGCCTCTTCGCCGCGGTCTCGCTGTTTCCCTCGGCCTCCGCGTCGCTGCAACCATCCTCACCCTCGGCGACGACGCCCTCGACCTCTTCTTGCCTCCTCTTCGCCGTCGCCATCTCGGCCGCGTGCTTTTTCCGCCATTTTGTCCTCCTGTTCTGGAACCATACCTGCAATCATCGAACGAATTCATATTTTGCGATTCGATCGGAGAGCGTGGACGAGAGAGTGGACTTTTTCTTTTTTAGCTTTTCAAGCGAGAAAGAAACTTCGCTTCTTCATCTCTCGAGAATTATCGATTGTTGTCAGTATTTCGAACATTCGCGAGAAGGGGGAAAAAAATTCGAAATACAAATTTCTCTTCTATTAGATGAAACGGGTTTTCTAAAAAGTTGAATGATCACTAATCTAAGATTTTTATTCGTTAAAATCTTCTAGTCTGAAAATTTTTACTCTCTGCCAACGTTTTTTTTTAGGATATAATACAATTTCTCTTCGATTCGATGAAATTAGTTTTCTAAAATGTTGGAAGATCACTGGCTTAAGATTTTTATTCTTTAAAATCTTCTAGTTTGAAAATCTTTACTTTTAGGATACAATACAATTTTTCTTCTATTCGATGAAACCAGTTTTCTAAAAAATTGGAAGATCACTGATCTAAGATTTTTATTCTCTAAAATCTTCTAGTTCGAAATTTTTACTCTCTGCTAACGTTTTTTTAGGATACAATACAATTTTTCTTCTATTCGATGAAACCAGTTTTCTAAAAAATTGGAAGATCACTGATCTAAGATTTTTATTCTCTAAAATCTTCTAGTTCGAAATTTTTACTCTCTGCTAACGTTTTTTTAGGATACAATACAATTTTTCTTCTATTCGATGAAACCAGTTTTCTAAAAAATTGGAAGATCACTGATCTAAGATTTTTATTCTCTAAAATCTTCTAGTTCGAAATTTTTACTCTCTGCCAACGTTTTTTTAGGATACAATACAATTTTTCTTCTATTCGATGAAACCAATTTTCTAAAAAGTTGTATGATCACCGACCTAACATTTTTATTCTTTAAAATCTTCTAGTCTGAAAATTTTTACTCTCTGCCGACGCTTTCTAGGACTTTTCGTCTAACATAGTAATCGGGCCAAATTTTACAGATCCTGTTACTCTTCCTAAAATAATCGATCTACCCCTCAAAACCTTCCTTCCACCAAAAAAAGAAAAAAAAAAGAAAAAAAGAAAAAAATGAAATTCAAAAGATTCTCTGTTAAAAATCCTTCTCTCCCTCAAGATTCATCAAGATACACCAACATTTCCAACCTGTATCCCCTCCCAACTCGGTGAAGGGTTGAAGAAAAAGAAAAGAAAGCACTGGCGGTGCTTACGTTGTGTCCCCCACCCCCCCATTTCTCACCCCCGGCAGTTTTTAAACAGAGGGATTGACGTTTTACGCTCGAACCCAACAGCAGCAGCAGCAGCAGCAGCAGTAAGCAACAACACGCGCGCGTCCAGATTGTCCGACTTCCTTTCTCTTCCGTTATCTTAATTCCTCGAGTGTTTTAATTTTCATCCGAACAGCTATTAACTTTTACGGCTGGCCGTTTACTTTTTAATTCGTTTACCGGGTTACAACGCGCGGGTTGCCTGCGCGTTGCGTGGCAGCCAGCACACGCCGACGCGTCGCGTCGCGTCGCGACGCCGCGCTTATATCTTTAATTTAAGCTCTCGACTTGGCGGCCATTGAACAAGCCTGCGGATTGGCGAGGAAAGAGGGGCCGCCACCGGGGGGTGGAGTTTAGTTGGGGTCACGCGGCGCTTCGCCGCTATGGATAGAGGGTGGTTTGTGGGTGCAATCGCTACGCTCGAGTCCCGCCGCTCCCCTGGCGCCCGTTACGTTAATTAAATACATTGTTGCGGGGACACGGGACTCCTGCCGCGCGTATTTCCAAGCTTTATAGATGTAGGTACGAAACGGGACCGCCTTGAGTCTCGCCTTCACTCGACCCTCTGACCAGCTTTCTCTCAGCCATCGATCAGCTGGATCTTCTTCGGTCGATGGCGCGCGCGTTTCTCTATGTGTCTGTCTTCGATTTTGTATCTAGCAACGATGGCAAGGTAGTAGAATTATTGGTAGGGCTTGAATCTCTTAACCCCTTAACCTCTTGCGACGCGCACGTCGAGAATATTTGGCAATATTTTCTCAGTTTCTTAGTTTTAAGTATAGATATAATCCGGGGCGAAACATATAATAAATTCATTGCTTCTTAGTAATTTCTATCCAGTGATGTACCGACGAATTAAGAAAAAAAAAAAAAAAAAAAAAAAGAAAAGACGAGTTATTGTATACGGTTTGGTCACTCGTTATGGTCCGCAATCAGTTGCCAGCGCAAGTGGTTAACCTCTTACTTGGACCGAATTCTTGGCCCAAAATTGCAATATTTTCTCAGTTTTGAGTATATTGAAATATAACCCAGGCGAAACAGATAATAAATTTATTGCTTCTTAGTAATTTCTATCCAGTGATGTACCGATGAATTTAAAAAAAAAAAAAGAGGAATTGTTGTATACGGTTTGGTCACTCGTTATGGTCCGCAATCAGTTGGTTAACCTCTTGCGCTGGAATGACGCACGTCGAGAATTCTTGGCCTAAAATTGCAATATTTTCTCAGTTTTGAGTATATTGAAATATAACTCAGGCGAAACAGATAATAAATTTATTACTTTTTAGTAATTTCTATCCAGTGATGCACCAATGAATTCAAAAGAAACGACGAATTGTTGTATACGGTTTGGTCACTCGTTATGGTCCGCGAACCAGTTACTAGCGCAAGAGGTTAAGTCGAGGTTTATGTCGAGTGTGAAAAAATGGAATTTTTTCGCTTAATACTCGTCATATAGAAAAAGTTCGCTTTTGCTGTTTATTGTAAAATTTAAATAAAAAAATTATATATATATATATATATATATATATATATATATATATATTTGTAATTTTTAGAATATTTGAAGGAAAAAATAAGATAAAACCGATAAAATTAAGAATTTCTCAAAGAAAAGCGAAGAAAATTTATTATTTTGTTGTAATTTAACTCAATCTCACAGCGAGTGTATTTATTGTTTTTTCGTCGAGTGTACTCGTCATCGCCTGGAAATAATTAAGCACACCAGTACAATAAAACACTAAAACTACCGGCGATTAAAACGTAAAATTTCCATCAGAGACGTTAAAGTAAAGGAAATAAAAAACTTCATGGTATACAATGAAGCACACAAGCTTTTATTTACATATTTTACGAACAATCATTTAAATCAGTTTACGTCTGTAAAATATCCAACAAAAATTGGAAATTGGTCATTTACCGAATTTACCATTTTGGTAGTTTCAGTGTTGTATTTATTTCAAATTAATATCAGGTAAATTAATGGTACAACGATATAAATTCAATGTTTTTATCATTTTAATTTTTTATCATTTTCGTTGATGAACTTACGAAACTTGGCGAGTGAGATCTCGAGGGTCGTGTGAAGTTTCAATGCAAATTTATGTCGTAACTTTGAATTTTGCGCAATTTTGATGATCAAGCTCGTCGTACATATATTTTGATTTAACAGAAAAGGGGGGGGGGGAAGTGAGAAAATATATCGTTCCCTTTAGGTTCCTCGGGCAGTGTGAGAAGCGTTTCTCAACTTAATAATTCGCTCGCGCGATTTCTGGTCGCGATATGTTGATCGGGTCATCGATCGGATGTTTTATCGTTGTCGATAAGAGCGAAGGCAGAACGATAAAGATGATAAGCGGGAGCCGGGATGGCCAGGGATAAATTTTTATCACGGGGCACTCGCCGTTGCCAACTACCCCCGATTGAAAATCCTATCTTCCACTCGGAAACTCGATTTTCATTTCGCTCGCTTGTCTCTATTCGTCGTAACGTCTCCAACGCTCTAGTTTCTGTCCTCTCAGCGTTCAGATTTTTTTTTTTTTTATCGAGTTTCAATATTTCGGTAATTGCACTTTTGCATTTTCGTAGATAAGATGTAACATTGACATATTGTATGAGTATAATAGAAATTAAAATTAGAAATCTGAAATATTTCACTTTGATGGAAAAATTTGTTTTGTAGATTTGTGTTCTTTTTTTTTCTTTGAAATTATCGAGAAATTTGGTACGAATTAATTCGGTCTGGTGACGAATTGTCCTTAAACGGAGCGGGAATTGTCCCAGCAGGGCGTAAGAATTGATTTTCGGCCAACATTATGGCGGCGCACTGTTTAACCAGGAATTACCTCTAATTTAATAGACCGTAATGGGGCCAAAACGTGACGCAAGTAACCGAAATAATAATAAGCCATTAAAATCTCTCTGCAGTTTACGTTGCCCTCAAAATTGAACGTTAACATTAGAACAGCCGGCGGAACGTGGCCGCCACGTTCGTCAAAATATCACATCACGCGCCAAAGATCCATTTATGTTATTGCAGTAATTATCGTATTACTTTCATTCGCAAAAAAAAGACAAATAAAAAAAAAATATATATATATATACATACATATGTAAAAATTTTAAAAAATCCACGATTTTCAAAGAAAAAGAAAGAAACTACGATTAAAAAAAAAAAAAACGTAAAAGAAATTGTATCATCGAAGAAATTTTCAAAAATTAGCTCTTCTTCGACTCGCTAGAAATGTGCATTGTTGCATTATTGCAAAGCAATTACGTAGCTCTTCAACAGAAAACCAGTGCGTTCTCGTCTTACATTTGCTACATTAAAAAAGTAAAAAAAAAAAAAAAAAAAAAATTGGCGACCCTACGATTTCGATAAATCCTGCGCAGCTTTGGATCCACATTTTCGGGGATATATATATATATATATATTTTTTTTTTCTCCCTCTCATCCGGGAGATACAGTGGCGAAATGTAAATGCGACCAGGCGGCGGCACTTCGACGTGGCGCGTCATTCATCTTGTTTTTGAACGCGTTAGTCACGCGTTGTAAACGCTCCCTCCGCAACTGTTCGATTTATTAAATCAGGATTATCTAAGCCCATTACTTTGTCCTGTAAAGCTAGATACAAAACCGCATTTATAACTGCGCAAAGCCCTTACCACCGTCGGGGTTGCACTGTCCATCTCTCTCTCTCCTCTTTCTCTCTCTCTCTCTCTCTCTCTCTTCCCT